ATGAGTGGAGAGATTGTTGTGGCACTAAAAATGACGTGGGTGGTCCGAAGGGAGTGAATCAAAGTAACTGACATTCACACTGACATCGATTTAGTAACTGTATTTAATGTGGACCCGTCTCGTCTAGAAAAACCTGAAACTGTTACCATAGCAACAACACTTCACACAGCAGATTACCAGTTAGCTCACTATGGACACAACCATAAACTGCTGTTGACTTTAAAAAAAATAAAAAGATTAATGATCGAGGGCTCAAAGTGCTGAATGTGTTCTTAAAGCCCTCAAACACAGGCGGGTGGAGTCAATTTAGAGAAAACATTTATTTGTTCAGGGAGTTTCACAATGTCTCGACCCGCACACAAACACACACACACACACACATATTTCTTATTTCTTAAAGAAGCATATTTTAAGGAGCCTACCTTCAGTATATTCCTTTGTGCCGTCGAGAGGATCAACCCACACAACTAGCTGAGTGAGATTCAGAGAGAAGACACTCAGAAGAAGTATGTGCATGTACAACGTCCAGATCACTCAACACAACAATGATCAATCACTCATGATGCATAGAAAATGATATTTTATTTTATTGCTAAACCTAATAACTACTCATTGTATTTCTGATCACACTGGCGGGTTACCTCCTCCTCTTTCAGCCCGCTATATTCTGCTGGACATGTCTTCTGAAGGATTTCTTCTGAGTGGCCATTCTCAATGAGATCTTCCCTTATCTCCTCAGGTGGAAGCTCCTGATAAAAAAAAAAAACACACACACGATTGTCAGTCTTTTACTCACCTTCTGTAAACCCAATACTAGAATAATCTTAAATGGGGGGTGGGTGTCCATGGACCTCACTTTACCTCCTCTCCAATGATGGTGATTTTGGGGAAACGTCTGAGCAGTGACGCACAAATGCTCTGCTGTGCCAACCTGTCAGCCAGTGTCTGCAGATCATTAGCTCCGGTCTGTGCAAGGGACAACTTGTATTAAATCTCCACAGCAGGCAGTAGTCGCATGTTGTTTAATGTGTCAAGCTTTAAATTGGTCCCCACCTTTTCCACAATGCCAAGTTCTCCACTGTGAAGGACCTTCCTCACAATGGACCCGGCCTTTTCAGCCACAGAGTGGGCAGAGGCCACCAGCCTCATGACCACAGCAGGACTCCCAGACATTGCTGGACAGACAGAGCAGACAGTTGTTAGTGGACACAATCATGACCAATACTAACATCTACAGGCTCTATTAAGAACAATAAGAAATGATTGCTCTGCAGCTCCTCTTGTTTTTCCAAGTTATCTGTTTGTCTACATCTCCTGTTTTGTGAATATTACACAGAATGAATACCAGATAAGTTTGTAATTATTTTTTTTCCTTTAATACCCAACCCTCTTATTATTATTTATAGAGTAATTAGGTTAGATAACCAAACACAGCTTGTAAATGCCTCTGCAATTCCGGCTAATAAGCTCAAATGCTACTGTAGATAGCTAGCTAAATCAGAGATAATAACCAAAGAATATGATAAGCATGCAGTAGTGGTGTTGATGTGTGAATACTCACTGCTGCTGTGGACACGGAGAAGGAGCAACCAAACCGTTTTCACGGTTACGGCTGAATTTGGAAGATACAGGAAGTCCGTGAAGACCTTTCACCCAAAGAATGGTCAAGATAGTTGCCCGGCAACCATAGCAAGATAGCTTTTTTTTTTAATGACATTAAATGACAGTCTGCTAACTAATGATACGTTCAGCAGGCATCAAAATGACGCTAGCGCCGGCTTGTATATGGTAGTGATTATAAAAAGCCGACTATTATGGTCCTAATTAAAGACAGAAAAGATCTGCGTTTGGCTGGTGGAACTACGGTCAATGGGTTTAACGCGCGTTAAAGCCAAGGCGGAAGTACATGGGAGTGAATCCTCTCGCTTTGTCCTTCCAAGTTGTTCTCTCTGTGCACAAAGTCATGCAACGGGTCCAAAAGTCCGTCGTGTTTCATTTGAGGGAAAAATGACAGAGGGCTCTTAAATTCTTACACAGAAATACTTTTTCTGCATTTTGTTTCATAAACTTTCCTCTTAGGCTCAACCCTCATTACTTTTATTAAAGATCCCCTCCAAATATAAATACAAAGAGTTTCATTAAAATCCTTAAAAGGCACATACTCTTTCTAAAATGGCCATAATCTGTGAATATGCTAGTTTCTAAAGTTTTCTTGCTGAACACAAGATCTCTCCTACTTCAATGTAAAGTTTATTCTCAGTGTCAGAGCTGACCTAAACTTGTGATCTCACAAATCATGATTGTAGACCTGCCGTTAACATCAGATGTTCAATGAGCACAGGGAAACGTTAACTTTCAGCAGATAGTTACAAACTCTGCACATGCATCATTCTGCACAGCGAAGCTCAAACATCCAACTGTAGGAACAAGAAGAGAAGCATATTTATGTGGAGGGAGACTAAGAAAGTCCCATTGCAAGTTTTAACATTTCTTGAATCTTCAATCGAACATAATTTCTTTTCATGACAGATTTAAGATGTCAAAACCTAGAGACAAGATGTAATACTGCTTCACGCTTCAGAATTCTTTATTAAACTTGCAAAGCCTTTTATTTAAAGTAAGCAACATATTTTTCATATAAATTAAAAGCAGCGTGCCCCTTTTGTTTCTCCCTATTTCTCTCAATAGACACAATTCCCACATTTTATCAGTTAAAGAAATGCAGGCGAAAGTTAAAAGAAGAAAAGGCAGAACCGAACTAAGCGAACCAATCTCATTTTAATGTGTTATACAGAAATAATTATTATTTTAAGTCACTGTGCATTCCTGAATAAAGTTAAAATTTTTGAAAAGACAAAAACATCTGATCTTTTTTTTTTTTTTTTAATATATAAATGTGCAAATCTCAAGCGCTTCATCTGTTAGCCAGAGGTCTGTAACCCATCTCTCCCTCCAGCTGCTCTGCAGTGAGAGAGCCCAGCAGAGGCTGACAGTCTGGGTTGAAGACAGAATAAGCGCTCAGTTCTCCAGGTTCGCGGGCAGCTGGACTACGGAGTCCTTCATAGAGCCAGTAGAAGAGGGAAATGACGAAGAAAGGCAGGCCAAACTCCAGTTCAACAAACAGGCCGAGCAGCACCAGCCACAGCAGCACTTTAAGCAAAGTGAGGTTTGAGAAGACCACTTGTCCCGAAGTCAGCCATCTTCCCAGAGCGCTGTCCAGCAGCCAGTCACTACAGTCCTGCAGAGAAGACAGAAAACAGGAGCTTCAGTAAGTTTCAATATCACATGTTATATCATAAAATAGTCCTCACTCTGTTCGGTGCTCACATTCCCCCATTATTTTGTTATTGTGCCAATTAATTTTCTGGTTTGATTTGCACTGATTTAAATGATCATTTAAAGATTTTTAGTGTTTAATCTTATCATACATGTAGAGCTAAAACAATCGGACACCGAACTTACCTGTCAACAATTTATAAGCGATAATCAAATCACTATTAATCGTTTGTCATTTATCAAACAGAAATGAACAGCTTCTCTTTATTATAGGTTATATTACTGTACATGTAATGGGCCAAGATAGCTGGGTAATTATGACGGGCATGTTTTACTATGTTCTAACATTTTACAGCTCAAATGATTAGTTAAAATAAAAATAATCCTAATGTACATGAATCAATAATGAAAATATGAATTAGTTGTAGCCTCAGTTTCATGTTCTGTGTCTATCTCTCAACATCGTCTCTTGTATTGAGTGTACTTCTTCTACTGCAGTGAAGACTCTTATAAAGTAATACATCAGGAAATATTGAATTAAAAAGCTATTGATTCATAGTTCAAACAGAAACACAGCTAATAAACGGAGTCTCACCTTCCTGGGGGAGCTCTCAGGTGAATCTCTGATACTGTCTGTCTCCTCTTTTGTCTGTTGACTGTCTGTTGTTGTTGTTGTTGTTGTTGTTGTTTCAGTCTGAGGGGCTGTGTCCGCTACTGTCCGGGCTCTGCACTGCGGATTAACCCCCTCGACCTTTCTAGCAGCATTGTCAGCCTGTCGTCTGGCTCTGAACTCCGCCAGCTTCTGCTCCATCGACACTACAAACCAGCTCCTTATTAACGGTGTACGTGGCAAAACACCCGCTGGCACAACTCATTCAACAGCTACGGTGGCGACGTCGGTTCAAAACAGCGCCAGCACAAGGTCCAATGTAACTCCACTGAGTGCCGCTCACTTTAACTCGCACTTTAAGCCCACTGTGGAGACATCTCACCGTATAATAGCTTAGCGAGGCGTTTGTTTACCTTTTACATCCGCGACTATCGGAAAGGCGGAAGTCCTGTCGCAAAAAGCCGTCGATTGTCGTAAAATGTGTTTTCCGGCACATTTTCACAGTGTCTGCTACAAGCTAGGTTGTTTTTCATCCGTGGTGAGTTTCTTTAAACCTCTACAGCTTTTAACGCCCAGTGATTAACCCCCGTGAATGTGTACTTTAGTTGTTGTTGTTGTTGTTGTTGACGCTCTCCTAAACTACCGTTAGCTACCGTTAACGGTCGCTGGCTCAGACGTTGGACCAACGTCCGTCTGTTGGCGTGTCGTTGTGGAGGACTAGTTAACGTTAGTTAACGTTAGTTAACGTTAGTTAGGTTAACTAACCTTAAGGAGACTGAAACGATGATAAGTTGTTATAATAAATAATAAATAATGATCTTACAGCGTTTATTTCTCGTGTTTAAGTTTGACTCTGGATCATTGTGCCAACAGTCTCACAGCATCGATTATAGATTTAACTTATTGGAATATGGTCAACTTGTGTTAGATCGAGTTATCTAACGTTAACTTAAGTTATAATTTCGGTAAAAACAACCAAGTACGGCTTGGTAACAATGATTTCCATTCTCGGTTAATAAATGAATCGTTTGGTTAATGCAGTGGTGTTCAAACTGGGGTTCGGGGACTAACAGGGGTCTTTGAGTGGGTTTCCTCAGGAAAAGGAGGAATATTAATTGTTTGTTGTTGAAAAACAAGGGAAGAAATAGGGTTTGTCTGTTTTGATTGATTGTAATTGATAGTGAGCCGATAGTGAACCTGGGTCTGTGGTCTAATGTGCATCTACTGTGGGGGGACCCTCAGTTTAATGTACAAAATATTCCTAATAATTGAGAAAATTGCCATTACAATTGATCAGAGTTCAAGATTATGTCTTCAGATTGTTTGTTTTGTCTGACCAAGAGTAAAAAACCCAAAGATAATACTTGTACAATGATTTATAATCAGCACCGTGGAAGAGAGGGAACTGGTGAATGTAGATGCTGATATTTAAAGTAACAATGACAGATAACAGATGTTTCTTTGTCATTTATTTGCCTTTTTGTGGCAGGGAAACTACAAAAATACAGTTTGTGCCAGTGCTGGAAAACAGAGGTTAATATTTCTCCAATAACCAACACAACATTTAAATCAATGCAACACAACAGGGCAGTATTTATTACTTATTGTTCCAGCTCTACGACTGAGGTTACTTCATTAACCTATTGTCTTAAAACAACCCAGAAGAAGATATTGTGTTATAATAACTTCACCGTCTCTCTTTTAAGCCATCCGCTGTAAATATCTGACTACAGGTTGTCCTCTCGTCTCTGCAGACATGGCCTCAGCTCCAGCACAGCAGCCCACCCTCACTGTTGAGCAGACCAGAGGTGAGAAGAGCCGTATTTATTATTAATTAATATTAATATTAGCTTATATTTTCCAGCTCTTTTGCTCTTTCTTTGGTGTTCCACATCAGTATTGCTGAATTAATATCGGGAAAAACACTTCAACAGCATTTCAAACTGTCAGTCTCAACTGTGCCGGGTTGCATTATGTGGTAAAAACATAATATTAGGATTGTTTTGCCAGATAATGCGATTGCGATATGATTCATGAGTCGTGTGGGAATTATTTTTCATCACAAACTTAATTTTTTACTGAACAAACTATTAAAATCACGATGATGTGAGATTTATTGGGGGTCTGTGCCAAACAAACATGTCCTCTTAAATCTGGGTTTGTAAGCCTTTCTGTTCAGCACTACAGTATTATAATGATAGTCACACATTTGACCTTTATCAAACTAAGTGAGGCTTCTGAGATTTGCATAATATTTTGATTAATTGTGCAGCCCTACAACAAAGTGTCCTCCTTAATTCACAAGTTGAAAACATTTCCATTTTCTCACTTAACATTGTTACTGTATGTGTTTGTCTGTGTCTGTTTGCTTCATGTGAATTGTAATGAAAAGCACATTTAGTTTACTTGTATAGGATCATGCCTTTATCTGCTACATACAATCTAATTACAGTTATATATATACATGCTATAAAGGTTTTGTTTGTGTCTTTCAGTGGTACTGAGTGAGGTGATCCAGGCCTTCTCTGTGCCAGAAAATGCTGCGAGGATGGAGGAAGCTCGAGAAAGTGCCTGTAACGACATGGGGAAGATGCTGCAGCTTGTGCTCCCCGTGGCCACCCAGATTCAACAAGAGGTTATCAAAGCCTACGGCTTCAACAACGAAGGAGAGGGTAAGCAGAAGGCAGCATTTTCTAAAGCACAGATTTACTTCAGGGCCAGAAAGTGAAGATGTGTAATGCTGAAAGGACTTTAATTTGAGCTTATCTGTTCAAGCTGAGTGAAATAAACACATTACTAATCATCTTCTTTCAGTGTTTTTGTGTGTGAATATCATCTGAAAGTGACAAAGCTCACAGACTGTAGTCCTTCAGAGTAGATGACACATTTTATCACACTGATCTCTGCTCTGTTTCACTCCCAGGTGTCCTAAAGTTTGCCAGATTGGTGAAGATGTACGAAACCCAGGACCCTGAAATTGCAGCCATGTCAGTTAAACTGAAGTCTCTCCTCCTGCCGCCGCTGTCAACGCCACCTATAGGAGGCGCCATTCCAGCTTCATAGGAATTATTTACATTCAGCTGCAAGGTTACTCTCATCTAATGCTTTTGGATCAACATAAACTTACTGTAATTCCAACATTTTCTCTATCATCCACTTTTGAGAAATAATGGAAAAACTCAAACTCCACTAATACGTTCCAACAAAGATGGAATTCATACTTTATCTAAATTATGGATTCATTGAAAGCATCCTTGCAAAAACATGTTAAATTATTGCTTTTAAATGTTTCAGTATTTATTTGTTACATTTTGACCATTTTTTATGTCTTTGAACCTTGAATATTTCCTTTAATGCCATCTTTTTTTCTTAATCATTTTAAACATTTTATATGCTGTCAGATGTATCAAATGTTGTTCTTTTGTTATATATGAAAATTAAAAAAAGATTTTCTGTGAATCTTTGTGGTATTAATGAAGAAAATGTGGGGACAAAAAACTCCCATATACATAACTTTATTATTGCAATAAGGCTTTGGCAACAACATCTTCATATGTTAACCATGTTTTTAAAAATACTGAAGGCCTTACACACATTTACATGTTAAATATACATATAACAAACATACATATATACATTTCCTCAAAGGCAACTTCTCTTAGACACTCTGTAGTGTTTAAGGATAAAACATCACTTTTCCAACATATTAAATCTGGGTTCACGTCTTCCCCCTTTCCTTTATTTTGTGGGTTTTAGTTTTGGGTGGGTGCAGACATGAAAACACTATCATGGCAGGAGAGGTTCATGATTAAAAATAACTTATTAGTCAAGAAAAATACAACAGAAGTTTAATCAAAGTGCTCATAATTTGTAAAAGAAAAGATTTGCCAAACCAGTGCTCCCAGCACCCAGTAACAAATGTGAAAAACTGTTGAGCAGGTGTTGTGGATTTTTTTTAAAATCTGGCAAATGTTGTGCATTATCACCCAGCAGCTTTTTGGATCTGAATAGACGATATGTAGAAAAATAAAAATACTAATAGATTTGGTTTCTGTGTGAAGGACATTGTATTGACTCATAAAATCTTAATATTGCCTGGTTGACCACTTCATTACGAGTAGAGCGCCCTCTTGTGTTGAACAGTGTTTCAGTCCTTTGCCTCCAGTCAAAATGATGGGGGAAAAAAAACAGGCAGAAGAGCGAGACGAGAGGCGACGCCTTCACATCTCAAAGTGACGGAAAATGCTTTCGACGTAACTCAGCACCTTCTGCCAGTCTGGCCCGTCTGCCTTCAGCATCTCCTCCACCGTCTGCCACACAGTTCACATGTAAAGGAAAGGATTAGGAGACCAGTGGACTGCTTAGTTTTTGTTTTGTACCAAACAGAAGCAGAAATGTGCTGTGTAAAAAATGTCTCACCAGTGTGGCTGTGATTCCCACACTCTCCCCCGTCTTAAAAGCAAGGTCCAGATTGTCCTTCTGTAAAAGACAGTCGAGTCAGAAGCAGCTTTTATATCATCAGATACACATTTTTACAGACCTTTTTTTAACCTTTCAGTTATGGATTCTTGTAAGAACCAAAAAAAAATCATCTGGATCACTTGTTGTCCCTCGATGTTGTCGATAAAGTGATTCATTTAAGTAATGGATTCTTGAATTTGTTGATGAATTGAACCTAGTTTTATGACTTTAGAGACTACATAGTTCATATCTTTTGTCAAAAGTCTTTCACGACTTTCATTGTGGCCATTACATAAACTGAAAGAAAGAAGCAACATTAACAGTTTTACCTTGTCTGCTGGGTTGAGGGTGTCATACGGGACGTGAGTTGGTAAATATGTGTGATAAACAGCACAGAACGCCAAGCCGTCCTCCCAGCTGCTGCTGAAGTTTGTGATCTCAATATTCTGCCACAAAACATACTCGATGAAGACAAGATATTTTTTGCCCACCCATAATTCATAATTGTACAGATTGTGAAGAATTTTTAAAATATTTTAACATTGGTGACATTCTCCTCTCTAACCTTATAACCTTGGGTGCGACTCTGGCACCAGCGCAGCAGGGAGTTTCTTCTGGAGCCGCCATGACGCCTCAGCAGAGCACTGAAACCATCTTGAGGTCTGAGAAGGAAAGAAAACGTCTCACCACAGTTTTAAGAATAACTTGATTTGTATCGCAATTTTCCAAAACATAGTTTAAAGCCAGTTTAATAGTTGTTGTCCTGTATGGGTCAATTTTCTCAGCACCCCAGTTTCAGTTTCAAAAGTTTAAACGATAATACAGAGGTGGTGGTGCAAACTGTCCACACGAAAAGAGCCTTTTCTGCTGATTCAAGTGTGCAAAAGGTTCAGCTGGAGATTGTAGCTAGGTTTGATGGCGTCTTCATGGTTTATTTGAAAATGCTACTCGGACTCATTCATGCTAAACAGTCGTCTTCATCTCGGTCTTATGTACACATAAAGTTCAGCGTCTGTTGAGAGAACAAAGAAAAAAGGGGCCTAATAGTTACTTACTTGATGGAATCTGAGCTTTGGTCTTCATCCTGTTTTCCTGCAAGATAAAAATGACGTCTCAGTCATACAACTGTATGCTTACTAAGCCTTCTAAAACCACAAAGGTGGTTAAGTTCTGTAGGTTTAAGCTCACCTGTGTAAAAGCTGGACCAGCTGTCCTGCCTCTGTAAGATGCGGTCCATCCTTCTCTGTTTTGGTGGCTCTTCTTTCTGGAAAAGTTCAGAGATATTAATCCAAATAATTGTGTTTAATGATTGTTTAAAGAACATTTTTTATATCATTTCAACTAGTGTACCTTGCATAGCGGTAATGTTGTGCTTGTGTTTTTTGAGGTCCCATTTTCACTGGAGGAGCTCGTTGGGAGTGGGAGACGAGAGAGACTCCTAAAAGACATTTTTTTGCATGTTTTATAATACTAGTAGGACTTAATAGGCTGACTGTGACTGTGTTGTGAGCGTTCATGTAGACTCACCAAGATCTTTCACACAGCATCACAATCCTCCTCGGATCTTTCAGCCCATGTCCCCCTTCTTTCTTCTTCTCCAGGGCAGCCAGACTGCGAAGGTATCCCTCCGCCACCCCTTTCCCCGTCAGCTGCGTGCTCTCTGATCCATTTGCCTCCTCGGGATCATTATCCACAACTTTCACATCCACCTCTTGATCTATTTCACTATCCGTCTTTTGCTTTTCAACATTTTTAGCGTCAGGGTCAGCTTCGAGTTCCTTGGGTTTTTCCTCCACGACTTCCTGTGTTTCCTCCCCCTGCCCCTCCTCAGAGTCTTGTCTCTCTGTCTGTTGTTCACAATCTGTTACGTCTTTCACCCTGCATGCGTTCCTCAGAGCGTCCAGCTCGGCCCGCTCCTGCTGCTGCTGCAGGGTGAGTTCTGTTAATTTGAGGCAGACGTCTCCGTGCTGGGCTCTCAGGCTCTCCAACTCTTGGTCCTTCTCCTGCTGTCTGCTGAAGGCCTGGGCCAACTGTTCCTCCACAGCCCTGTGGCTCTCCTGGAGCAAACCCAGAGCCTGCTCCGACTCGACCCGCAGCCGGTCGGCCACCGACACCGCGACCTGCAGGTCACACTGGAACTGATGCCACTCCAACCTCTCCGTCTGTCATGGAGGATGAAAAGAAAAGTGTTTTCAAAGTGGTCTTTACACAACAAGTAAATGTTTGTGGGGTTCATGTGACCTGCAGTTCCAACTCACCCTGAGTGTCTCCCTCAGCGTTTCCACCTCCTCGACCAGCTCATCTTTCTGTGTTATCAAAAGCCTGAGCAGCTCTGACAGACGAGTCGAATAAAGAAAGATAGATTGACATAGACATAAAAGGAAAGAACTAATAATCTGAATGTATGCGTTACATTTTGCCAAGGAGCAAGTATGGCAGGGCCTGGCACTGGTATACCTAAATTGGATGTAGCTTTTATTAATATTATTAGTTTTACATGTCTTTATAAAGTCAAAATGTCTCTTGTGAGAACAGTTTTGACTTTATAGTGAAGGAGTTGGCAGTTAAAGGTCCAGTGTGTAAGATTTAGGAGGATCTATTGGCAGAAATCGAATAAAATATTCACAGATATGTTTTCATTATTGTATAATCACCTCAATATAGGAAT